ATAAGGGTTGGCAATTTGAAGGGAGAGAAAACCTTGAAAAGTGCATGTGCCTCATGCTCTGAGAGATAAGGGAAGACATTGTGATTAAATGAGGGTAACCCTTGGCCTCAGTGTCCTTATTAAGAGGAATGTGAACTGTATAGAGATGGGTGGCCATGTGTAAGTTGACAATGTCCCAAAGAAACAAAAGTCCACCCCCCCATGACATCCAGGTAGTCTAACTAGAACAGGACTGCAGGTGGGAGTTGACTAGAACATCCATGTAGGAGATTTGTTCACGAAGCCTTTAGTTATGACTCAGGAAGGTGTACATCTGTTACGAAGAAAGGCACACTATTTTAAGTCATACAAAGACCTCTTAATGACTGGAGTTAGGCTAAGTGTTGTCCAACAAGTCAATAACAGTTATCACCAGGCATGGTGGTGCACACCTATAATCCCAGGAGACAAAGGGACTACAGAGCACAATTGCCTCAAACAAAACAAAAAGTTATCTTTGTTGCATCTCTTGGTACTTTTTACTTTCCCGTAGCATTTCAGCATTGCAGACACTAGAATGTTCAAACGGACTGTAGCCTGAGGCATCTTCTCTTTTCTCTTTGACAGATAACACCAGTAGTCTGACTGATAAACACCTGAACCCTGTCAGGGAAAACCTGGGACGGCAGTGGAAAAACTGTGCCCGCAAGCTAGGCTTCACGGACTCTCAGATCGATGAAATTGACCACGACTATGAACGAGACGGGCTGAAAGAAAAGGTTTACCAGATGCTCCAGAAGTGGCTGATGCGGGAAGGCACCAGGGGGGCCACAGTGGGAAAGTTGGCCTGGGCACTTCACCAGAGTTGCAGGATAGACCTGCTGAACCACTTGATACAGGCCAGCCAAAGCTAAGCCTGGGCCACCTGTGGCAGTGGGAACTAGACTGTTTGCCTGGTGCACAAGTCCCTTTGCCCCATGCCCTCAGAACTCTTTCTTGGTACAAGCCCTGGATCCATGCACCTGTTGTACATTTTGGAACTGGAGAAGGGAAAGAAGTCTAAAGCCCACGGTGGTTCTTCAGGAAGCACAAGCATGAAGACTGTTGAATGGCCCAGATAGGTACCTTAGATGACAGTCACGGTCCTTCCTAAAGCTAGAGGATCTGTTAACTTTAGCATCCAATGCTGTGCTGTCACCTGAAGCTTTAAGAATCATGTGCAATTCTAGCGTATATAAGTTAAAGAGGAAATGTTAAGGAGGACTAAGGAGGAGGAAAAACTGCAGGACAGAGGGAGCTCACCACTTTCCAGCACTCGCCACTGAGAACTGCTGATTGCAACTACTGTAAATACCAGCGTGAAATTTTACATCTTCTCGTACCATGCTGGTGCTCCGCGCCGTTCTCCAGCCTGTGCACCCCTCAGAGGTCACCGGTGTGCAGGAAATGCAGTCTCTTCCTCCCTGGGTATGGCCAGAACCTCAGCACTGCTCACTGTAGAACTGTTTCCTGAGTTTACTCAGAAAAATGTACTGAAAATATTTCTTCTGTGTGCCATGAGTTAAAAAGGGACAGCTTTCAGAGTTCACTCTTTGTGCCCTTAGCAAGCCCACGTGCAACCCAGGAGTGAGTGGAAGAACTAGAAGACTAAAGCTGCCTGGGCCAACTACAGTCACTGCTGGCATTGTCTGTTCAGAGGCTATGCAGCGACAGGCATCTGACTGTTAGGAAAGATTCCGGTGTCTGGTTGACAACAGTGGGTTATGATCCTGAATCTCCTGCAGCCTCAGAAGACACGTGGCACTCCTGGAGTGAGCTGCAAAGCAGCTTTGTCCTTGTTGGCATTTTGGCACTAGTTGGCACTTCATCCTCCACTGCTGACCTATCTTGTACTATGTAGAATATTTAGAAACATTCCTGGCCTCCTCCATCTACAGGATGCCGATAGTACAAGTCAACTTCACCCACCAATGTGACAAAAATGTCTCTAGACATGGCTACATATTTCTTGGAGGGACCCTGCTGTAACTTTATATGCCTCACTTCTGTCACACATGCTGGGTTCGTGCCTTAACCGCATAGAGTATGCACATTGGAAGGGAATTGGAGCAGAGAAGGTTCCAAGCTTTCCTGGAGGAACCTGGATAGTCTTTAAATGCTTTCCTCTTAACCTCTATTCCAATGCTATTTTAAGAAGACAGGATTAGAAAGTATTTTTAATGGAGTTGACAGGTGGGGGGGGGTGGAATGGCAGGGAAAGCCAGAGCTGGTTTTGGAACTGCAGTAGCAATCAGGGTCCTAGTGTTAAAATCATGTCTATTAAGTGTTCTGTAAGGGAAGAATTGTGGGTCCATTGCAGAAGATAGGTACTTCAGATCTAGGCCCAGATTGTGACCACAGACTTCCAGGCCTTTTCCTGGCCAGGCTCACCAATGACATCCAGACAATTGCTTGGCATCTTGAGTTGTGGCTGAACCTATATGAGTTGAAGGACAGTCAGCAGATGAAGCCTTATACCCTCATGGGTATGCTGCCCAGTTCCTTGTACAAGAAAGGCTGTGCACCAGCTACACAGAGCGAGCATTAATAGATTAGGCGCAAAGACTTCTCTAAGCCCCTCATGTGCTCTCTGCACCTTGTCAGCGCCTATGATGACTAATGACTTTGTGGTCAGCGGTACCATGGGATGTGGGAGTCTCTGGGAGCCCAACATGAATGTATAGCACTTATTTAAAACCACCTCCCAAGCTATGCAGAATGCTGTGGCCTGGGGCGCAAGCCAGGCCTGATTGTCATTGTCCACATCATTGAAAAAAGCAAGATTGCGAACACCAGGACACTGAGGGCCCAGGACGACTAGCCCTGTTCCCAAAACCCAGAGTACTGTTTGGTTCTGTTTTTAATAACCTTCCTTAAAAAAAAAAAAAGTGAAATAAATTTTATACTTTAAATATGGGGTACTGAATGGTGTTTGTGTTAATATACTGCTCACGTTGGCATTTCTTGTCATTACATTATGCTGATAGCGAGAAGGTCTGCCAAGCAGCACATGTTGTCCCCAAGAGGCCACATCACTGAAATCCACATGGCTCAACAGCCTTTCCCTCTAGTCAGCTCTTAAGTGCCACCCTGAAAAGCCACATTTACCTCGGAAGCCAAGTTCCACTTCTATACCTGGGCAGAAACCAGATAAGCAAGGGGAGCCCGACTAGGAAATGAGGGAGGAGGCTCCACAGTTACTCCCAAGCATAGGTTTTCCCCTTGCTGTGGTTGTGATCCTGCCTTCCATCTGTTGTGAAGTTACACGCAGGAATAAGAAAGGGAGTTCTACCTCAAAAATTAACCATTTATCTTGGTATATTTTTTTCTTTGCTCTTTAATGAGTTGTTTACAAAAAGATGTAGCCTATCTAGCAGGATAGATATTTTCGATCGTTTCACTTTAAGTTAATGAAGGTTCACAAATGAGTAACCCACCTACTCGGTGGCTCTTGTTTTTGTGTTTGTGTGCGCATGAGCTACAGTGCTCACATGGAGGAAAGAGGCCAACTGATGGGAGTCAGCTCTATTCAAGTTGGGCTAAATGGCATCTTGATAGTGCAACCAACAACATAGTTTTTTATTGTTGTGCTTTGTTGTTTGCCTTTTATTCCTTCACATCAGTTCCTTGGAGGAATCTTCCACCTCATTTTTTAGCCACACTTTCCAAACCATCGTGTTCATATTCAATACAAGTTTTAATAATATGGTAACTCTTGTCCACACATATGGATGCTCCTTTAACTGTGTTAGTACATCCTCAGCTGTTCTTTGCTGTAGTACCAGCACTTGGAAGGCTGATGCAGGAGGATTGAGCATCCAAGCAAGGCTAACTTTATCCTGGGCTGCTGTCCGTGGTGTAAGCAATTTACAAAGTTATCTAAAAAGTTGACATCCAGTTTGTGGCTAGAATCAAGCAACTTGGTCTGACAATGTTTCGTAGTTCCTGATATTACCAAAAATTGAGCCAATGAACTAATTGCTTCTTCCAGAGGAGGGAACCAAGTGGGCTTCGTGTTTTTCTTGCTTTAAAAGGGAGGAAATTAAAAAAAAAAAAACAAAACAGAAGGGGGAGTCCCATGGCATTTTATAAGCAGCTGACTATAAAGAATGAAGAGCAAGTATTGTTGCTGTGAGAGGTATGGTGTCTTAAGAGAGCATTATGAAACGAAGCAGGCTTGAGTACCCCTCTGCAGCCAGGTGGGAAAGACTTCCTAACTTCCCTTGCCATAATCTTGTTATCTATAATTTGAGAGTAAAGAGGTGGGAATGGAGGGAGAGCTATATATAAATTAACAATAAAGTGAAGCATTTTAAGGTGCCTGGCACAAAAGTGATAGTTTTGGTTTGCATATGATGTTGAAAGCTTAACCTACAATCGATCGATGGGTGATTGGATCATTAGGGATCTGATATAATCAACCGAGTAATCCATTGGTGGGTTCATAGTTTGATGGCTTTATTGGAAGGCTGTAGGAGGTGGAGCTTGGCTATAAGAAACAGGTCACCGGGAACATGCCTTTGAACGATTTCTTTTGAACAACCTTCCCCACCCGGCCTTCTCTTTCCCAGCCTCTGCCAAGTACCTCTGTTACCATCGCGTGCTGCTCAGGCCCAAAGCAAAGGGTCCAGGTTGGCCTGAAGCTTTGAAACCCTGAACCTTTCCTCATTTTAAATTGTTTTCAAATGCGTGCCACGGTGGTGCAGAAAGCTAACACAATGCAGTGCGGAAACGACGAGTTCTTGAAGACTTACGTAATAAATGCTGACAAGGGTAACCTAGAAGCCTGCTGCCGTTTTGCTTAGCAGCAAGGGTAGAGGGATAGATAGGTGAAAGGGGGAACGTCGGCAGGTTCGGTGATGCAGGCCAGTAATCCCAGCATGAGGCCAGAGGACCCGGAGCTCAAGATCAACATCAGCTCGTAGTTCTAAGCCAACTGAAGCAATGTGAGACCGTTTTCTCAACAAAAACAGGAAACGATAGTCTCCCTGCCGAGGTGTCCGGCAGGTGGCCCTGCCTCCCCGTAGCTTTGGACACCACAGCGATTGCAAGCAAGGAATGGTGCAAACTGAACTAAGCACACGGAGAGCTAGGTTTGTAAGAGAGAACACGCTTCCTTTCTGGCTGGCCTAACAAGGGGTGTGGCCGGCCAGAGGCGTAGCTTCGGGCTTGGCACTTGAAGGATGGCATCCAGTTGGGCGCACGCGCGGTTCCGCTAGGAGGAGTGACCTGGAGCTATGGCGACTGCAGCGGTACACCCTGCGTCTCTGCGACTGCGGCTGCTCCTCTCGCCCTTGAAGTCCAGGACCCGCGTGCGGCAAACGGAGCCCGCAGCCGCCTTCGGGTAATAACGTGCACCTAGCCGCTTGGGCCGCTGGCGGGGTGGGCCTGGTGCCTGGTGCTGACGGCCCTTCCTTTCTCAGACCCGGGTCCAGATCCCGCAGAGCCAGTGCGCGAGCACTTCTGTGGCAGGGGTTCGCTTCTAGAACCCCTAATTGCAGATGAAAGGGACCGGGAGGCGCTTTTGCTGGTAGCCATGGATCCGAAACCCGATGTCGGTTAGCTAATTGCTGGGGACAGTAACTATTCCTTGCCTCCTCAGAAATTTGCCTAACCTGCTTCAGTCACAGGGCCCACGTTTCCTGAGTCCTTTTTGTCTGCTAATCTCGAACTTCAGTGTGCTGGAGAAGCTGTTTGGGAACCTGTGTAAAATCAAAGACCCAGGTCCCCCTGCTAGAAGTTCTAATATGGGTGTGTATTTTCCATTCCCCACCACGCTCCACTCCCGCCCTTGGATAAAATAACAACAGCATTCGTGGAGACCTGCTGTCTTGACAATGGTGCTCTGTCTCAAGAGAATCTGAGCAGAAATTGTGGACAGAGCAGCCTCAGACTGAGCATATCCTACCGTGTACACATGCAGGCATGCCCACTGCGAGTGTGCGGTTTTCTGTCAGTGGGCCATTGACGCTAGGGGCTGGCATTGCCCAGATCACACAATGGATGGATTGAGCACATAATCCAGAAGCAGGAGAAGGGAAAATGGAACCAATTTTTTAAAACGTTCCTAGCATGATTGTGTAGCTCTTCGGTTTTATATTTAGTTCAGGTTTCTTCTCTCGTTTTAGGGTTATGTGACTTTAGCACATTTCTATGTACAGGTGGAAAAACATGTCAGTGGCTGTGGTTGTGTAAATCACCAGCAGCCAGCAGGTGTTTTATCCAGTTTCCTGATTGCAGGAAAGGGATTGAGATGAGGCTACCAGGGTTGTGTCATACTCACTGGTGATGTCATGGATGTCGAGAGCCCTAGTCCCTTAGCTGCACTGTAGATCACTTGTCCTGAAAGAGCTCCGTGAAGGTTTTCCGGGGTCTTGTGCTGCCATTTTAGAAATACCGTTCCATACTGGTATGGCCTGTAATCTGAGAAACAGCCCTGCTGGTTAATCCTGAAACCAGGCTGCAGCCCCATGCCTGCAACTCGAAGCAGTCCTGTGCAAACCTCTTCGCACCCAGTGTCCGGCCCACAACTGCCGCGTTGTGTTGTAGTGCAGATTCGCTTGTCAGTCCACTGCTTGGAACTCTAAGCCTTTTCTTACTTCTTGGACTCTGTGAACTGTTAAAAAGTATTCTCTGTGGGGGATTGAAGGCCAGTTATGACAGTAATAATTTGCAGAATCGGACAGTCTGGCTGAAAAAGAAAAATGTTTTCTGAATTTAACCTTAGGAGACCCCGCCAGAGAATCAGGACCAATCCTTCCTCTCAGGCCTGCCTCCACCCCCTGCTTGGCAAGCAGACTGAATGCCACCCCAGCACTTTGCCCTGTTGAGGATTCAGCTCTGCCCCGAGGTTGAAGAGGTCATGGTGTTCTGAGTTCAAATAGTTTAAGTAGTTGCATTATCAACTCCTACTGTCTGTGTGACTACAAGTTACTACTCAGCCTCTCTGGGTTTCTGGCCTTGCAGCATTTGTATCTGAAACAAGGACTGTGAAAGGCCTGGAACAGAATAAATATAAATAATTAGCAAGTACAACTAATGATATAAATAGTGAACACATAAATAATATATATACATAAATAATAGTATATAAAAGAAGTCATCAAGCTTCGTGTAATGAAGTCGCTGATGCTTGACTCCCAGTCATTTGCTAGGAAGCAGGGGATAAGCAGTAAGGACTTTCAAAGTGAGCCCCTATTTATTAAGCAATCCTCACCTTCCTCTCTAAGCAAGGTGCTGAAGCCAAGATCCCGGTCGCACACTCAGATGCTCATCTTGGGCTGGATTAGCTAATCCTGTGATCAGCCAATTAGCTTTCCCACTAACTTTCAGCCTCTCTACGGTAATGTTAGAGTAAATTCACCGTGCACCTCAGAAATGAAAGACAGGGAACATGTCCCCAGAGTGCAGGCTCCTGGCAGCAAGCACTAGATTTGCTTTACCTGTTCTCCCCAGCCTCCCCACACAACCACCTCTCCCTGTCTGAGGCGAGTAGACCCCCCCTCCTCTGGGTACCATGTAAAAAATTCACAGGTGGGAGCTAAGGACACACGAGACAGGAAGGTACACTTTGGGGGCTCCTAAGCCTTATGTTCTCTAAGAAATTGACCCAGTCTTGCTGGCCTATTGGCCTAAGTACAGTTGCCTACTTCCCATTCCGATTGTGGAGCCGTGCAGCCTGGCCTCACAGATTTGGAAGGCTGCCCAGTGGTTTGCATTCAGCATTTGAGCCCTGCTGAAATAACAGGAGAAACGAGCTCAGGTAGGCTGAACTGGCTGAACTCCACCACCTCCACCTTCAGTTGAAAGGCTCCACACAAGTGCACAGTAAGCGCTTAGCTGTATCTGCCCATCTCCTGCTAGCCTTAAGCTTCAGAGGGACTTGCCTTTGGTGTCCTGCAAGGTGAGGCTTTG